GGCCGGCTGGGGGGAACGGGAGGGTGCTGTGGGTGCGTGTGGGGATCCAGTTCCGTGAGGGGGGACCCGTGGCGGGGCCCATCTGTGGTGCGGGGGGAGTGTGGGGCGTGTGGGTGTCCGGTTCCGTGAGGGGGGACCCTGTGAGACTCGGCTGTGGAGCCGAGGAGGGGGAGAGGGAGGCCCTCGTGGGCCCGGGCTGTGGAGCCGGGGAGCTTGCGTGGTAACGGGCCGTGAAGGCCTGGGGGACAGTGGGGACCGTAGGGAGCAGGGAAGGGGGAACGGCCCGAGGCGTTGTGCAGTGCCTTGCCCTTCCCTGGAGAATGACGTGAGCGCAGTAGAAGTTCCCAAGCTCCACTGATTAAGTCCTTGACAGCAGGACTTGCTGCTTCTCGCTAAAATCTGGTGCGCTCTTAATGTTGCTGAATCCACAAGTTTTCTAACCCTGCTCAAATCTCCAGGGAGAAAGATCTCGATGAGGTTCTGCAGACACACACGGTGTTTGTCAATGTCTCCAAAGGCCAGGTGGCAAAGAAGGAAGATCTTGTTCAAGCATTTGGGACGGATGACCAGACAGAAATCTGTAAGATGGTAGGTCTCCCACACTTTGCTTTGTGAAAGCTTGGAGAAGATTTTCTGAATATTTGACAGAAGAGTCACACAGACATGGCACTTTGCTTTGACACTGGGAGGCTGTCACAGAACGCAGTGCTGCTGTAGGCCAAAGGGTTGGTTGGTAGGAAATGAGAAAAAACGAGTGGTAACTGGGGGATTGTCTCAAGTTCTGTCTCTGCATCTGGTTGAAAGGAATGTTCTGTGTAACACACAGCTTTTGTGGACTGGTGTCTGTTGCCCAAGAAGAAAGCTTAGCCAGTCCTGAGGAGTTTCTAATCTAAGAGATGTTCTTAACAATACAAAGGGGACGGTTGCTTCCTGTGTGTAGTGCAATTGAATGTTAAGAGCAGATCTAATTTCTTAGTCCTTTTTGGCAGAACACAAACCATGGGCTTGCTGTAGCTCATGAGAATTCAGATCAAGCTCTGCTTCACCTTTACTGTCTCTGTGGTGGTTTTTTGTCTGAAATCTTCCCAGGGTTTGTCATCACTATGTACATTAATACGACGGTTGTTCTTTCTCTGCACTTCACATCTGACCAAACCATCCAAACCACTGCTAGATTTAACAGTTCCTAGCGTCTTCACTCTTCAGTCAAACCTGTGACATTTATGCACTGAGTTCTTTATTTTTACTGTCCAGATTTTATCGAAAGGGGAGCTACAGGTATCAGACAAAGAACGACACACACAGCTGGAGCAGATGTTTCGAGACATTGCAACGATTGTGGCTGACAAATGTGTGAATCCTGAAACAAAGAGACCATACACAGTCATCCTTATCGAACGAGCCATGAAGGATATTCACTACTCCGTCAAACCGCACAAGAGCACGAAACAGCAGGTTTGTTTTCTTGAAGAATCAGTCTCTGCACCAGGGGATGTCTTACAGTGTGGTTTTCCTGTCAGCAGTCACAGAGGCTTCAAAAATCCCTGTGGTCTAAAGCCCACAGAACGACGACCCGGCTGGCTGGCGGTTCAGTGCTGGATCCAAGCGGCCGCTGAAGCTCATGAACCTTGTTTTCTAATAATTCAGGAAAGGGAGAAAAAAGAGAAGCTTAATTAAAGCTGCAACAGTGATGTGCCTGGAAGAAAGAGTTTTGTTGTTTACTTAAATCAGTCTTTGCATGTGAGGCACATGGGTTTCTGTTCTGCAGTATAACTACTATTTAATATTATTTCAGACAGGTTTTTTAAGTATTTGAAGTGATCACAAACACTAAAATAGCATAATGGCAAACTCCCTGCAGCAATGACAGTGGCCAGCACTGAGAAATGCGTCTGAAGCCAATGCAGAGGATCTGAGATTTGGATCTGTGTGGGGTTTTTGGCAGATGTGTACATGCTCTTTGTGCTCAATGTCTCTGCAGGCACTGGAAGTGATCAGACAGTTGAAGGAGACCATGCAAATTGAACGCGCTCACATGAGGCTGCGATTTATTCTTCCAGCAAAGGAGGGGAAGAAACTGAAAGAGAAGCTCAAGCCACTGATTAAAGTTATTGAGAACGAAGACTTTCACGAACAGTTGGAAATTGTAAGCAATAAAGCGGTCTCTGGGTTTACTACCTGATTTGACTATACCTGTACAGTTTACTAGAAGGTGAATTAGTATCTGGAAGTGGGTTAGATAAGCTGCAGTTTACCAGAGATTCTAAATCTGAGATGTAGGTTTTAATTCCACACAATGCTAGTGAAGAAAGCTTGGAAGTGGCCTTCATTTCCCAGAGATTGCTGCTTCAGGCTGGGGAGAAGCACGGTGTGGTTTCTCTTAGCAGTGATTCTTCTACAGCACAAAGAAGTTCTTCTGCTGGAATGTTACTGTAATTTATTTGGAGGGTCAGGCCTGTATTTTGACAGAGGTTAATTAGTTTTTTAAAAAACAGCGTGTGGTAAGGCAACATTTGGTATTGGTAAAAATCTTTCTGAGAACAGATTAGAATCCAGCCATCAAAAAACACACCCGGTGTGCGTAGATGGAACTGCAGAACTTTTGGAAAGATTGCTTAGTAGAAATTGCTTATCGACTCTGCAAAGTCCTTTTTGTAACTAAACAATGTTTTTTCATTATAATGAACGTTAGACCTTGAAAAGGAGCTGATGAAAACCAAATCTTGCTCGACTGATGAAATGTGAAATATTTCAGGTGTGCCTTATTGACCCAGGCTGCTTCAGAGAGATCGACGAGCTGATCCGGAGCGAGACAAAAGGGAAAGGAACGCTGGAAGTGCTCAGTCTGAAAGATGTGGAGGAAGGAGATGAAAAGCTTGAATAACGAAAACCCTTCCTGTTCTGTTTTAACAGCATCTACAAAATGACTGGCAACAACCGCTCTCTCGTTAGGCCTATATTTTTTTTCCAGTCTCTTGCTGCCATGTATTTCCTGACATAAATCCTTTGGGGTTTTTCCATGCAGTCTGTTGGGGTTTTTGTTATCATTTTACAGTTGCTTGGTGTAGGGTGTCAAGAGTTGCACTAACAAGGACTGAGTTAAGATGCGATGCAGGAGTTGCTCTGGAGTTGCTACTGTAGCTATTGAAGAGTCTTTGATAACGGTGCCAATAATTTTTGCTTGAAGTTGCTGGTGTTGAGTGGAAGATTGCACAAGTCACTGAGGGGTGGGGTTTGCATGTGAGGAGAAGAATCTTCAGAAAAGGGAGCCGCATTTTCCCTTCCAAACAGGTGGAAAAATTTGTCTCTAAACCAATATCTTGGCAGCATGAAAACTGACTTAGACTTCCATAATTGGCTGCTTGATAATTAAGAGTACTTTAAAGGACCATTCTTCAAGATTTCCTTCCCCAGATATAGCACTACTTGCTGATTTAGAAAAAATGTTCAAATAACTTATTCATAAAATATATTTAGCTACATTAATAAAAATGAATTATTCTCTATTTATATATTATAGATGCAGAAAGAAATAAAATAATTATTTTTGTTAATAGTGTAGGAGGTAGCTCTGGCCATGGTGATGCTTTCTGTAGGCTGAAGGCCCACTCTGCACTGTAAGCTGTTCTCATCCATGTGTCAGTGAATCCTAAGTAGGCGGTGGTGTCCCTGGCCATTGAGCCAGGCCGGCTTTTGTTGGGCCTTAATTCCTTGGCGTAAGTGTTTGTGCGTGCCCCTTTTTAGTATGAGAGGAAAACAACTCTGGCAGCTGTCCTTTATCCTCTGACTCTTTGTGCTGCTTGCTAATGCACACACACCATTTGCAGCCAGCTCCTGAGGCATGGTACGTAGCTC